TTAAATTCGTGAAACTCGAATTCGAAACATTGCGAGGTTTCGAAATTTTTCGAAACCCGGAACATATAATTTAATTTGTTCTCGATACAAACGATTCTTATGGATTGGTGTTGAATCTGGATAAGTTCGTATTCTCTGGTCACAATGTTCTCGTAAGTTGTTTTATATGACTACAAATTGTTGTTTACCCGAGTTTCGAGAGTATCCAATTTCAAGAACTCTGCCCTTTTTCTTTCCTATACTGGTATTACTATCTTGTTTAAATATACCAACATACCGAAACGATACGAATTATTAATTTTTGTCTCGCCGGTTTCATAAAAAGCCATTGCATAGAGTTTATTCACATTATAAAAACTTACAGTTCGATAATCGATAATAAATAAATACTAGACACTTATTATATTGTAGCATAGTTGACAAGGCACTGGTTCACATCCTCTTGAAAGGATTAACAAAGTACAATTATAACTAAAGTCTATCGTACCTTTGGTAAAACTTGGTATATGAGCACAATTATTTAGCACTAAACGTTCTAGTCTCTTTTTCGGGTTGTCGAATGTTGCAGTGGCAACTCTTTAAAAAGCACACAACGCGGTAATCGGTGAGAAGGCTTGACGCGTGTCCAACAATTGCAGTTACTATGCTGCAATCCTATTTACATGCCATAAGAAAAATACATGCCCGCGAACGATGAAATCCGAACAAAATATTCCTAGATTGAAATACCCGTTTGACAATCAATTCCACGCGCGATTATACACAACTTGATTTCGTGGTACGTTTATCATGCTTGCCTTACCCCGCGTGTCGAAGACTCGAACGCTCTTATAATATATAATACTATTCGGGATGAATCTGACAATTTACAGATTCAGCCATCGCTAAACCTAATGTCTGTTGAATGTTTTTTAACCGTTGATAATACTGTGCAAGCGCGAATCCGTCGAAATTACCATCCTCGCTGAAAATGTAGGAAAATGGTAGAGTATTAAAGGAACAGCGAAACGAATGAAATTGTTCGAACGAATTGAAGAAATTTGCTCACTTTGCGACAGGTCTTTCTCGAACAGGGGGAGAATGATCCATGGCAAGTTTCTGTACCGGCACGTACGACTGGTCCACGTTCCACAGCAACGTCTGGGCACCTATTCTTCTGCCGATGCTCCACCTAACGATCAGCCACTTCATTCTATGGATACTGATGAGTACCAGAGCAGCGCTCTTGAAGCGTACTCGCGGAGACTTTTTATGACGGCCTGCTGTGGTATAGGATCGTTGTTCGCTAGTCAATTGCGCCAGAATGGACAATGTGTTCTCCTCGGAGATCTGATAACCACTTACGATGGTTAGCAGGTAACGTTTCTGGTAAGTCAAAGCCTTGCGTCTGCTATCGGCTCGTATATATTTCCCATAGAAGTGTTGCAACTGAACAACAGAAAATTAGTTTGTTATATGTATATTATTACGTATTACGCTCGCATACGGAATTACGCGCCGGGCCAATTGTACCAAAGAAAACACGAGGAAATTACCTTGTCCGCGCAATCTCCACCGATCGCCGCGTTCGCATCGCGAGACTCGATGCCTCTCTTCAAACGAGATTCGAGCGATTTGACTCGTTGACCGAGTTGCTCCTTATCCTCCAGCGCTTTCACAAGCTTCTCTTGAAGCATGCTTTTCTCGTTTAGATACTTTTTGTTGATGTCGCCGAGTTCCTACGGAAGAAAATGTTACAATTATAGGTGTGTTACAGACTATGCGGATTGGTAACATTATCCTTCCAAATACCTTGATCTTCTGCAGCAATTTGGTAGGCGTGGCGGTCTTGTCGCCACCGTACCTGTTTTTCAATTCTCTAGCTAACTCCAGTTCCCTTTCTGCGAACGATCTCAATTCCTGTTGCAACTCGGCGATCGTGTCCCTCAACTTTGTCTCTTCGTCTTTGGCAGCGGACAATTCCTTAAGCAGATACGTTTCTTTCTCCCGAAGACTCTCCACCGTTTCGGTCAGTTTCATCTCGCGTTCACGCAACTGTTTCATGTCGGCTTCCAAGTCCACCTGTTCAACGGACAATTTCGTTCGAAGAGTCGGGCAAACAAAGGATCGAATAAACCGCTTAAACGCATACTAACCATCACCTCTCTGGCATTGTTGATCTCCCTCCTCAATCCCTTCAGCTGATTCTGTTCACTGGTCCTTTGCTCTTGCCTTTTGATTTCCGCGTCGGACGTTGTCTTGATTCTCTTCTGGAGCCATTCGCACTCCTCCTCCCGCGCTTTCAACTCCTCTTTGGTGCGACCGAGATCTGTTTGCAAATGGTCCCTGATTCCCTCGACCAGAGCAAGGCTGCTTATCAATTTCTCTTTCTCCTCCACTTCCACCTCCAGCTGTTTCTCGAATCGATTCTTCTCCGATTGTAGCTTCCTCAAAGTATCCTTTAGTTCCGCGCTATTACGTTCTTCCTTTTCCAAGCTTTCCATCACCGACAAATACTTTTTCCTCTCAGTTTCCAAAAGGTCCGCTAGTTTCGGCAATTCGTCGGACTTCTGGGACTGTTGGGACTGTACGTGTTCCTTCATCAAACTCAGCTGTATCTCTAGGCTTTTGTGTTCTTGTCGTAACAAGGAAAGATCGTTGCGCAGCCTCGCCTCGTTGTCCAGAGATGTCTTCAGCTTATTCTGAAGAAACTCGATCAACTCCGAGTCCTGCACGTGACCGGACTCCATCGATCTATGCTCCTTCTCGATTTGGATCTTCAAGCTCCGAATCAAGCTTTTCTCGGCGAATAATTCTTCGTTGAGCTTCGCAACCTGTTCGCGCTCCATCGCTAGATCAGACTTAAGTTGGAAGATCCGGCCCTCGTACTCAGCGATCTGACACTTTAACATTCCCCTTTCGATTTCCAAGTCGTCTTTCAACTTTTTCAATTCGTCGTTGATCCTATTCGCCTGACTCAGTTGTAGCTTTAATTCGCTGCTCCTTTGAACGCCCTCCCGACGAGGCCCTCTGGTTTGAACTTGATTCTCCACTTTACAGATACCATCTTCCTGGTCGGTTTCGATCGCATTCATCAGCCGTCTGTCGAGATGCGCCGACAAATTCAGCTCCCTCTGCACCATGTCCTCGATGTCGGTGTCCTCCTGTGACCGCTCTGCAAGTTTGAAAGTTCGTTATCGATTGGTCTGCGAATGAAATCGATCGTATCGTACTATCGTATTATCGTGTACCACGTAAACCGGAAATAATATACTCACGCGTGGCCAACTTTAAATCCGACAATTCCTTGTTCAGCTTATCCATCGCGTTCCTCAGCTCGGCATTCAGTTTTTGCTCTTCTCTCAGCTTCCTTCTGAGCTCGACCACGTTACCGGACTCCTTCATCTTATTCTGTATAGTCTCCAAAGCTCTGTGCAAACTCTTGCTGTCGTCGTTCATTTGCCGTATAACTTTGTCCTTCTCCTTCAAATATTCCTGTAGATGATGGATCTCCTCGTCCTTTTCGTTCGAAGGCGAGGATGCTTCCGAAAAGCTAACGCGTCGTACCATTTCCTCGAGTCGCCTGATAGTCTGATCTCTGTTGTTCAAACCTTCGGTCATCTCTCGTTGACACTCGACGATTTCTTGTTTGAGCAACTCGTTCTTGGTCTTGAGTTCGTTCAATTGTTTGTCCTGCCGGAGAACCCTGCCCCTCATAGTCTCCAACTCGTGGGCGTTCTCTCGCAACAACGAGGCACACTTGTTCGCGTGTTGTTGCTCCTTCTCCTTGATATCCGCCTTCAGCTTACCATTCTCCGAACTCAACTCCATGATGATCTTCTCGTTGACCTGAATTTTACATTTTTGCTCTTGGACCTCTGCGGTTTTCAATTTCAAAACGTTCTCCACCTCCAGAAGATCCTTTTTGATTTTATTTTCGGACGTTTTCGACAACTCGTACTGATTCTGATAGAAACACTTGTCCGTGGTAAGCGTCTCCACGACTTCTTTAACTTCCGTCTGCAACTCGTTGTACAGTTTTTGCAGCGACAGCAAATCTGCCTCGCGTTTCGCCAAAATTTCGGATTTCGTTCGCAACTCTTCTCGAACGATCTCCAACTGATGTTCCAACTTTTCCATTTCCTCGATGTACTCGTTGATCGAAGTTTCCACATGTTTCACGTGCGGAGTGACGCACACCGAACGAACAAGCGACTCGTCGTCGACTTTGCCGTCGACTTTATCGTCGACGATTACATACTCGTTCTTCTTCTCGCTGTCGTTCATCGGTGTGCCGTCGTTCTCCTCCGAGTTCCTAGAGGTCGGTTCAGCGGGCTGCAACAAATCCATTTCCGAGGACTGTTGGTTCGACGCGGCCGATAAACTCTGAGAACGAGAGCCCAGGTCCAACGGTGGTACACGCAGTCCGATCTTGCCGGTGTTACTGGTGGCGGTGCTGTCCAAAGGTGAAAGCGCCGCGGTGTCGTCCATGATTTTGGCCGAAACGAATGCTGTGGGAATTCTCAAAGTGGATACGCTTGGCAACGTTTGAGTGAAATTCGTTCCACGAACGGCCTCCGACGTTTCCTCGCATTCCGAGTGAATCGACAGAATGTCGCTCAACGTACGGGCACTGTTCTTTGGTTCGGTCTGTCGAATCAGTTCTCTCAGTTGCGTCTCGTCCAGGTTCAACGAGGAATAGAGTTGCAGTTGTTTGTCCTTTTTCGACAACTGGTCCTTCATGTGGTCGATTTCCTCGTTTTTGTCGGCCAGCATGCTGTCGATCAGCCGCGGCAGTTCGAGTTGAGAGTGTTCTTGAACGCCGACTTTCGCTTGTAAAATTCTATTCTCCTCCTCGACGATCTCCAAGTGTTCGCGCAGCTTCTGGATGGTAGACCTTTCCACCTGCACGACATTCGCGATCTCCGATTCTTTCTCCTGCAACAGTTGGCTGACTCTGTCCAACTGATTCAGCGTGTCCCTCAATTCCAAGTCCTTCTCCGCTACGGCGGACTCCAACGATTGGAATTTGGTATTTGCTTCGTGAAGCTGCAACTCGAGCCGCGACGTCGCTTGCCTCTGCGCGAAGGGCGCATTCTGCTTGTGCTGTTCCAGACGGCCGCGCATCGCTTCGATTTGATACAATTGTTCGGAGGTGGTCTGTTGCAAGATCTCCTGCTCCGCTTGCAACTCTTCGTTCTGGTTCTTCAATGCAGCCACCTGCATCTCTAGATCCTTGATTCTCTTGAACGCAACCTCCTCGGCTCTCGCGTGTTTCGACATCTTCTCCTTGAGCTTGAGTAACTGGTCCAACGGCAACATTGGCGGTGAATTGGGATCGTCCGGAGTAGGGCAACGTGCCGCGTCGATTTGCTCTCTGATCGACACGTCCTCGCTAGGTTGACTCAGACTTAAATTGGAGCTACACATATGTATCGATTCCAATTCTTTGATCCTCTTGTCCAACTGAATCTGCATTTCGCGAAGCTCCGACTTCATTTGTTTCAGAGCGGTAGAATTCGCGTTAAACTGTTCGGAACTTAGTTTGTGTTTCCTCAACTCCTCCTGTGAATCGCATCGTGTCGTATCGCATTACCAGAGATAATGTACATATATAACGTTTCGTTAACCGATCGAGCGGGTCGAATGTCTTACCTGTAAGTGATTGATGTGCTCGTTAAGCTGCTTACTTTCGCTACCCATTTTAACCGTGTCCAGCTCCTGTACCAACTCTTGCTGGTTCTTGGTTTGTGCGGCGATCACAGTTTCCAGTTGACCGATTTGAAGCTGCAAAGACTCCTCTTTTTCCGATTTGGATTGTAGCTGTTGCTCCAAGTCTGTAATAATGTCTCGTAACACCCAGATCTTGTCGATGGCTGCTTTCAGTTCGCTCTCGGTCTCGATCTTCCTGGCTTCTGTGTCGGACATAAGGGATGACATTTCCCTCATTTGTGACTCGAGAGCCTCCACCTAAATTACACAGTAATCTTTTCATTAGTCGTCCGTGAACTCTGTTCGTACCGATTCTCGTTCGCGAGTACAAAACACCGCGATCTATTAAAAAACAAAACACCACCAACATATAAAGCGTACAAGTATGTTATTGGGGAACATAATCGCCACAATCCTATCTAATCGTATGCCCCAAAAACCGCTGTAATCGCATGCATAAAAGTTGTCGAGGAATGCCTAACGTATAAGCGGTATCTTGCTCTTTTGCTTTTTCTTTTTCTACCTAATATACGCTCTGCCTGCCTCCAACGATGCCAGTTATTATCGCGAATTCTTATAGTAAATAGTAAAATACCACTCACAGTTGCATTGATGTCAGATGTTTGAAGCACAGGTACCTCTGACGTTGGTTCAGGTGATAGTGTAGACTGCTTTGTGCGACATACAGAAAACCAAAACCAGAGTGCAGGAAAACTTGTGTTAATACAATCAGTGACGATGCGTGGTTATAAGCTGCCTAATCGCAGTATAGGTATAATATAAACAATGATAGTCGTAGAAACAATAATTAATTGGCAAGATACCCTCCACGCTTTATCGATTAGCCGAATCATTTTTTGCATACTCGACGAGTCAGTGAAAATTATGGGGGGGGGGGAGAGGGGGAGAGAGAAATAGAGGGAGAGGAAGGAAACCCAAGCCGGAATATATGAGAAAACGATTAGTTGTTGTTTCTTCTAGCCGAGTTTTATGTATTAATTGAATCGCACGAAAAAATAAGTAGAAATCTTTGCTATTCGAATAACGATAAAATAAGGCAAAATCGTTCTTGTTCTGTTTTTCCCGTTTAGAGACAATCAAACATGAAATTACCTCCGAGGTGATACGCAAGTCTCTTCCCTTTTCGCGTTCGCGCTCCTTCAACTGTCCCTGCAAAAGATGTATTTGTTTGGCTGCTTCGTCTCGTTCCACTTCTCTTTCGCTTGCTTGTTCATCCAAGAATCTGCGTGTTGCTTTCAATTGTTTATCAGCTGCTTCAATCTACACATATTTTCATCGAATTAAACCGTGTAACAAATTCAACTTTAGCATACAATTATGTATATTTTATCGCATTCTATTCTATTCTATTCTATGCTATTAGAAAAGACATTGATCGATCAACGGACAACCAAGAACCGAATGGTATACGATTTGTTTAGCATTATTTTTATTATTGGCAAGTGGCATAGATGAGAAGAGAGGGAGCAAGAACGGATAATCGGTTAGTGTATAATATATTAATTGTGCGCATGCGAAAGAAAATTTGCCATAACACTACATAATAGTTATACGTGCTGGAGCGTTAATCGTGAGGCACTTAGACGAGACATAAGAATTTTCAAATTTACATGTACGCAATGTTAAGATTAACTTACGCGGTACAGCTTTTATAATAGTATTAGTATCTCTATGATTTACCTTTAAGCAGCAAACCCTGTGAATGTATGGGGGAGGAGTAGGTTCTAAAGGTACCTGCCGGCAAGACAACAGAATGCCAATCAATTCTTTAAAAACGGTATCACAGACCCAGGCACACAATTGTAATCGTCTATTATTTCTTTCTTGTTCTTTGTTTCCCTTGTGTTTCCACTAATATAATATGAATATCGCTAGCATATCCCTTCCTCTGTTTTGTTCTGTTCCTTTCAGGCACTGGACTCGGATCCGAGTCGGAGTCGCATATGCATAATCAAACAAAACAGATTGAAAAAGTGAACGGTGATGATACATGGATAACGAGGAGGCTAACTAAAAAGAAGATCTTGTGCAATGTGTACGAACTATTATACCGGTAAACTGATAGGTACAGATAATATAAGGTACCATGTACAAAACTCCTTTTAAATATGCAAAATACACCACAACTTGTTTGTATGTATGTAACATAACAATTCTATGTATTAAAAAGACATGCAATATCTGTGCACCGTTCCTTGGTGAATTTCAATTCACGTTTACCTGTTGCTGCAAGTCTTCTTTCTCTCTCCTGGCATCCTCCATCAATTTGTCGCTCTGTCTACACAATTCCTCTATCAGTTGCAACAGGACCGTACAGTCTTCTCCTCCGTTCGACAATACGTGCCTCGCTGAAAAATCAGTTGAAATCCCACAGAATGTTAGAGACGTCGGACGAGAACGAGAACGAATCTCGCGTGTTTTTACCTTTCTCCTGTAGATGCGTGAAATCTTGCAAGGTAATTTCTACGCCGACGTCGTCGTTCTCTCCGTAACCTTCGGTAATGATCTCTTTCTTGTTTTCTACGTTGATCAATTTCCTTTGGAGATCAAGAACAGTAAGTTTCAGCTGCTCCGTTTCCTGTTCGTAGTTCAAAATCATGGATTCCGTTTCCTGCAGCTTGGAAGCGAGCTGTTCGTTCATTTGATTCATCCAGGCGACCTCTTTCGGGAAAGGACCACCTTGACCACAATCCCCGTCCTTTCTGTTCGTAATCGCGAGAATCTCGGCGTTTTCGGACTTCAAACGTTGCACGCAGCTGTTCAATTCCTCTTTCAATTTTTCGACGATGTCGTTCTTCTCTCCCAATATTGTTTGCCAAGTCTCGCTATCGCTGTTCATTATGGATATTATTTCTGTCGTTTGCGGTGCAAAGTGAACTCGTCGAATCCTCGAACCGGATGAATTTAATCTCGACGAACTTGGACTAGCATGTTCTTCGTTCTTCAACTTTTTAACGTCCTCGGTGTTCTCCAACGTTCTCTCGTTACCGACACCGTCGCGCGGTTGTCTCTTGAAAATTTCGCCGATCAGAGTATCGTTGACTTCCTCTTCGCACACGAGAAAATATTTTAGTAGCTCTTCGACCAAGGTTCTCAGGGTAGCACAGATTTTGTACAAACTATTCCTGCAGAACGAAACGGACAACTATGGCGCCATCGATCCAATGGTACTCGATGATAAACTAGTACTATAATACAAGACGAATACCTCTCTTCAAGAACATTTGAATTTCCAAGCTGGGCCAAGACTTTCTTCGAATCGGTGACGGGCACGCCATCTCGAATCTTATTCAGCTCCTCTTGATGACGGTCTATCATTCTGGCTACGTTGCGCGAGTATTCCTCCTTGAGCCGTTGCACTTCCGCTGCATGAGCATCTTTCAGCAACTGCATCTCGCGTTTCGCATTGCCGGTCAGTTTGTCGCGTAACTCTAGCAACTCTGGCGACCAAATATCATCGACCTCCGATTCGACCGACAGGAGGGCCTAGTTTCATAAACGACAATCATTGTTAAAGAAAACCAGCCGATCGCGACTACCGTTCCTCGAAAATAAATACACCGTTTTATGCCAAAGAAAACGTATTTAAACGCTTAGATATACCAGTAGATAGTGTGGAGAAATGAAATTCCTGTGTATCTAAAACTACCTGAATTTGTTCTTGAAGCGCATTGACAATGTCCAATTTAGCTAGCGCAATCTGTTCTTCCAACTGATGGTGGTAGGCCGCTCGCAGTTGAGTTAATTCACCGTTTTCCAACGCACCCGCATCCCACTCTGTTTGACAATGCTGCATGCACACATATATGGTCACACAGTAGCATGTTAGTTACAATGGGAATGGTAAAATCTGACTTTTATCGTGTACATGTAGCTTATTGAAAACTATTCGAAAACTAAACTATTCGCAACAGAAATAACAGAAACATGAGCAGCAATTGCATGCACTTTCTTTGGGTAAGACTGATCTAAAAGTGAAACCTAACAAAATAATACTAGTCAGATTGTTATTAGTAAACGACGCATGTCGATGAAGCTGCTTTAACACACGGAACGTTAAATATTGTAGAAAGAAACAGAGCAAGACAGATGGGAAGGGAAAGAGAAGAAGAGACGAGAATGAAGAATAAAGAAAGAAAAAATAGAAAGAAAGTAATAAAAATATAATCTGTTATTAACACGGTTGAAAAATGCGCAAAATACCATGTACTCTCTGGACCGGTATAATAAAATACTTACACGAGTCACCATGTTCCGCAAGAATTCCAGTTTCTCTGGTTCCCTTCTGTTGCCATACAATTCTCCTTCGTATGTCATCTTTTGTTCCTCCAACTTCTTTTCATAATGCAGTTTTACTTCCTGCACTTCTATTATTTTATTTTGCAGTTCCTGTTGCAACGCTTTAACGGTTGTCTCGAGCTCGTACTTATTCAAACCGTTGGTATTGTGTTTCGATTGTTCGTCCGCCAACGCCAACGCCAACGGCGAAGCAACCCTGGAGCTACGTTCGGAGAGATTGTTCGAAACGTTCATGCAATCCCCGGCACCGCCGAAATACAAGCTTTCCGTCAAGTCTGCTATCTCGCTGTCGTTGTCGGACATCTTTTTCGACTGCTGACTAAAGATTTCCTCCGAATATTGCTTTTCCATCAGCAGACATTTCTGTTCGAAATAGGTCCGCAATTCCTCCATCTCCTTGGCGTGTCGCATCTCCAATTCCGTTTTTAGATCACGTAGCTCCGCTGTGCCATCTTTCACGCCCGATACCAACGATTGAACTTTCCTAATTTCCGAGGCAGTTTCGACTTTTATCGCGTTTATTTGCTTATCGTGAACACAAATCAACGCATCGATCTCCTTTCTCAACAATTCTTTCTCCGCTCGGAGTTGATTCACAGATTCTTTCAGCGAATGCGCGGTCCTTAGCTCTTGCCACGGAGCCTCATCCTCCTCCTCCTCCTCCTCCTCCTCCTCCTCCTCCTCCTCCTCCTCCTCGANGGTTGTCTCTTGAAAATTTCGCCGATCAGAGTATCGTTGACTTCCTCTTCGCACACGAGAAAATATTTTAGTAGCTCTTCGACCAAGGTTCTCAGGGTAGCACAGATTTTGTACAAACTATTCCTGCAGAACGAAACGGACAACTATGGCGCCATCGATCCAATGGTACTCGATGATAAACTAGTACTATAATACAAGACGAATACCTCTCTTCAAGAACATTTGAATTTCCAAGCTGGGCCAAGACTTTCTTCGAATCGGTGACGGGCACGCCATCTCGAATCTTATTCAGCTCCTCTTGATGACGGTCTATCATTCTGGCTACGTTGCGCGAGTATTCCTCCTTGAGCCGTTGCACTTCCGCTGCATGAGCATCTTTCAGCAACTGCATCTCGCGTTTCGCATTGCCGGTCAGTTTGTCGCGTAACTCTAGCAACTCTGGCGACCAAATATCATCGACCTCCGATTCGACCGACAGGAGGGCCTAGTTTCATAAACGACAATCATTGTTAAAGAAAACCAGCCGATCGCGACTACCGTTCCTCGAAAATAAATACACCGTTTTATGCCAAAGAAAACGTATTTAAACGCTTAGATATACCAGTAGATAGTGTGGAGAAATGAAATTCCTGTGTATCTAAAACTACCTGAATTTGTTCTTGAAGCGCATTGACAATGTCCAATTTAGCTAGCGCAATCTGTTCTTCCAACTGATGGTGGTAGGCCGCTCGCAGTTGAGTTAATTCACCGTTTTCCAACGCACCCGCATCCCACTCTGTTTGACAATGCTGCATGCACACATATATGGTCACACAGTAGCATGTTAGTTACAATGGGAATGGTAAAATCTGACTTTTATCGTGTACATGTAGCTTATTGAAAACTATTCGAAAACTAAACTATTCGCAACAGAAATAACAGAAACATGAGCAGCAATTGCATGCACTTTCTTTGGGTAAGACTGATCTAAAAGTGAAACCTAACAAAATAATACTAGTCAGATTGTTATTAGTAAACGACGCATGTCGATGAAGCTGCTTTAACACACGGAACGTTAAATATTGTAGAAAGAAACAGAGCAAGACAGATGGGAAGGGAAAGAGAAGAAGAGACGAGAATGAAGAATAAAGAAAGAAAAAATAGAAAGAAAGTAATAAAAATATAATCTGTTATTAACACGGTTGAAAAATGCGCAAAATACCATGTACTCTCTGGACCGGTATAATAAAATACTTACACGAGTCACCATGTTCCGCAAGAATTCCAGTTTCTCTGGTTCCCTTCTGTTGCCATACAATTCTCCTTCGTATGTCATCTTTTGTTCCTCCAACTTCTTTTCATAATGCAGTTTTACTTCCTGCACTTCTATTATTTTATTTTGCAGTTCCTGTTGCAACGCTTTAACGGTTGTCTCGAGCTCGTACTTATTCAAACCGTTGGTATTGTGTTTCGATTGTTCGTCCGCCAACGCCAACGCCAACGGCGAAGCAACCCTGGAGCTACGTTCGGAGAGATTGTTCGAAACGTTCATGCAATCCCCGGCACCGCCGAAATACAAGCTTTCCGTCAAGTCTGCTATCTCGCTGTCGTTGTCGGACATCTTTTTCGACTGCTGACTAAAGATTTCCTCCGAATATTGCTTTTCCATCAGCAGACATTTCTGTTCGAAATAGGTCCGCAATTCCTCCATCTCCTTGGCGTGTCGCATCTCCAATTCCGTTTTTAGATCACGTAGCTCCGCTGTGCCATCTTTCACGCCCGANCTCGACACGATGTTTCTCCATGATCGAGTTGTCCATCGATGTCGAGTAGTGTTCCGGTTTTTCTTTAACTCGATTGTAATCGAGCTGTGCCTCTAGCGAGCGTTCCAGTTCTTTGGCCAATCTTTCGTTTTCCTGCAAAGTCGATGCCAGCTTTGCCTGCAACGATGCCACGACACCGGTCGTGTCCGACGAGTCGTCGTCCCTGCCGTAGAAAAGCCTGTTGTCGTCTCTGCTTTGNCTCGACACGATGTTTCTCCATGATCGAGTTGTCCATCGATGTCGAGTAGTGTTCCGGTTTTTCTTTAACTCGATTGTAATCGAGCTGTGCCTCTAGCGAGCGTTCCAGTTCTTTGGCCAATCTTTCGTTTTCCTGCAAAGTCGATGCCAGCTTTGCCTGCAACGATGCCACGACACCGGTCGTGTCCGACGAGTCGTCGTCCCTGCCGTAGAAAAGCCTGTTGTCGTCTCTGCTTTGATCGTGCGTATCATCGATGGACAACGTCGTAGTATCGTTTACGGTTCTATTGAATTTTATTCGCATCGTCGAAGTATTATCGTGACTAGACATCGGGACAGACGAGTCGAGTTTGCTTTCGTTCAACGCCAACGTTTGATTCAACTTCTCTTCTACCTCCGCGCATTGGGCCCACGCAGTGGCCAATCCGTTTTTCAGCTGCTGACATTCCTCATCGGATTTTTGAAATTTCTGCGACAAGTCTTGTACCTGCCTCAGAGAATCCGCGAGTTCTGCTTCCTTTTGCTCCAAATTTATTTTCAGTTGCTTAATCTCCTGTTGGTCTTTCTCGGTCTTTTCGAACAAATCTCTCGAGCAACTCTGGCCATCGGTATCAAGAGTTTTCAACGAGTTAAGCTCGGACTTGTACTTGTCGCACATGTTCCTTGTGTCCTTCAGTTGCTTCTCGTACGATTTTCTAGCCAGATTTGCTTGCTCGAGCTCCTCCGTCGTTTTCCGAACCTCGCCCTCGAGATTCTCAATTTTATCGATCAGAAGCTTTTCTAGTTCCGCTTTCTCTTCGAGTTTCTGTTTCGTCAGGTGAAATTGAATCGCAACTTCGTCCAAACTTTGATAAGCTGTTTCATTTAGGCCACTGAACGTGCTAAGGTTGATACCGCTGAGTCTGGACAACGATTTCTCTAGGTCGAAAATTCGATTGCTCAAAGTTCGCTCGTGCACTTGAGTATTTTCAATCAACGACTGAGCCGCGGTGTATCTCGACGACAAGTCGTCCAATTTGAACTTCAAACTATCGTTCTCATCTTTTAGTGTCGCGGCATTCGTTAGAGCCTGTTCCAACGAACGTTCGATGCTCTCTTTCGATTCCAGAATCGCGGTCGCGGCAACATATTTCGACGTGATATCTTCCAATTGTAACTTGTGCAGCTTGATCTGTTCACCTAGCATTTCTCTTTCTTTTTGATGCTCCAACTCTTGTATTTGATGCGCGTTCTCATATTGAACCTTCAGCTCGTTCACTTTTGCTTTGCACTGGCTCAGTTCGGTTTGCGCGGTTTGCTGTGACTCCGATCTGTTTACTAATTCGAGCTTCAAAGCCTCAACGGTCTTTTTATAATGGCCCATTTGTGCTTGGAATATGGAAAGTTCTTTGGCGTGCCTGGTTTCGAGATCGGGCAAGTCTTTGTTCAAACGATCGGCTAGTACTTTATTTTCATCTTTAAACTGTTTCAATCGTTCCTCGTACATCTCTTGAATATTCATGATTTCCGTTTCGTGTTTCGCAGCCACCTCCTACGAAAAAGAAAACGTAGAAACGTTTGTTTAGAAGAAAGCCTCGGTTCTGTTACATACTTTTAATTCCTGTTGATGTCGTGCGGTATTTATGTTTGTCTCGGTCGTGAATTTTTCTAAAATATGTTGCATGTCCTGCTTGATTTTATCGACGCGCGCCTCGTATTTCTTTTGCTGTTCCAAAGTCTCAGCGATATTCAAATTCTTGTCAGTTGCACCCAAACGAATCTGTTCATTCAGATTGTTTATTTGCAGTTTGTAGTCGCTGATCTCGGCATTTCGAGTCTCTCTCTCCATTTCCAATGTACGTTCACGTTCTTGAGACTGTATCAGCTGACCGTTCAATTTTTCTATTATCGATCTCTGATTGCTTAGAGTAGCTTCCAAGGCGTCGATCTGACAAGAAATCCATTGAATTCAAACGATTCTATAAACATGTAAACACAACCGGATTCGTTCCTCCAAACGGTTCCTACGGCAATTCCTAATACTCACCTTGTCCTGCATGTTTGCGCTATTTACAGTACCAGCCCGACCTTTATCCGGAATTTGTACAGCATTTAAAGAACTTAACTGAGTAACAAGATTATCTCTGGCAGATAGTGCTTGTTGCAGGGACCATGTCAACTCCTCTATCAAATTATCACGTTTATTTATAGCTTTCTCAAATTCCTGCAACTGTTTAACAAAACACAATGTAATTTCATCGATACACATATTAATACAAGGTGAACAAATTGAAATCGATATTCGAGCGTCTCTCTTCTTCGACCGATATACGTATATTAGTTATATAATATACCTTCGTATGATACAACGATATAATATCTTTGCCATGAATGCTACTGTTTTGACTCTGCGAAGAATTAGGGGACGAAGCCTCTGCTCTTAAGTGGTCTATCTCGGCGTGCAAAGCTTCGACTATGGCTTCTTTTCCTTGTAGCATCTCTTCCAATTGAGCTACCCTCCCGGCGAGTCCTTCCAAATCGCCGTCGGCTTCTCCTTCGCTCATACTGACGCTGCTTTGGGTGACATCCCTCGACGATACACCCTCGTGCATCTACGTTACATGACGGTCAAAAATTTTATATTACTATTCGTCGGTATCGGTCGCGACACGTCGTTTGTCTCCTTACGTAAGATTCTCTGCGTCCAATGGATTTGTCGATACGAAAAGATTCCTCGTCCGATGCATCGTCTGTTTGACTATGACCCGGGCCTTTGGCTTTATTAATTCTTTCCGCCTTGTATTTCTCCAGCTGAAAGATATACCACGATCGCTCGATACGCATAGTAATTTATACTAAACATTCTAAGATGTTTCTTGCCTGACAAAGTAGGAGCATTCTGGAAAAACTGATAGTTTTGTCGAGGGAAAGAATGCAATTATCAACGATAAAAGAAATCAAAATAAAACACTACTTTTAAATGAAAAATGTGAAACGCAAATGTTTCGAGACACGCTCGGTCCGTGGTGAGATAATGAAATTAAAATGTGGGCATTTTTACTCTTGTTTTCCCAATTATCTATGTATCGTCGCATTGAAAAATATAATAATTGACAATTAAGCACCATGAAAGCATAACTACGTACGTAAACAAATGGCATCGAATCGCGTAACGATTATTTCCGAAAGTAACCAACGATAGCAAACCCGGCAAAGAACGAAATCTGCGAAGCAAGAATTAATTGCAAACAAAGAGCGAGATTTTTGGTGCTTACCATTTCTCTGCCTGCTTCCAAAGAGCGTCTTCTACGTTCATCATCGTCCGTTACTTTGCTCATTTCATTAATAAAATCAAATCGACGATCGTTTAATAATCGACCAACAATAGACGATGTTAATAATTAATTGTATAACATCCAGTGGCAGAATCGTCATCCATTACATTTCAAAGCATGTGTCTCAAACCGTCCACCGATTCGATAAACGTTTGACCGTTGTCGATTTATAAAAATACGAATAGCTATGTACAGTGTGGTATTGTATCTATAGGCCGTAGACCATAAACCTTCGAAGTGGAAGAGCAGATAAAGGGGCCTTGGTCTGTACATGAAATATACATACAATATCCTCTCTCTCTCTCTCTCTCTCTCTCTCTCTCTCTCTCTGTATTATGTAGAATGCTGTAAACAGGGTCATTCGCAATCGGGAAACGAGAGGTTCCCGAGGTCGTTCGAAGTAACCTTTACCTTAGCGCAAATGGAATCCGCAGTGTCGTTTACGAGTTATTAACGAAAAAACGAGAACGACCAATGAGAGGCGAGCTCTGCTGGCCCAAGGCGGTACCCTATATACATCCGCATAATGATCTGAGTCTGCTCTCTATCGTTGATACATAAACCTAGGCGAAATAAGAAATTGCGCGCGAAAAATAACTAGAGCAATTTGTCGTAGATGGCGGTACTGTTCTCTCTTTTAAATCTTTTTCATTTCGAATAAATAATTGATAGATATAGTTTTAATGACAAAGCGAGAAAGAATATAAATGTAACGCAATAAATGCTGTTATTTACTAATGTAAATCGCGCGTTCCTTCGATTTAATGGTAGAGCGTACAGTCTCAAATATGCATGCTAATGCCATGATAGTATGTAACGTAGTTACATAATATTAACGCGCGATTCTGGTCGCATGTAAATCGATTGATTTGCATTTTTCTGAAACTTATAAACTATTTAAACCAACAGCATGACATCGATGAAACGGTAGAATGCACGTTGAAACGATATTCGATCGAACGTATGTGTAATACGTATGTACATATATGTATGTAACGTACAATTCGTAGAGTCATCCGCAATTGTATCATGGAAAAGTTGGTGAATTTGGCATCGAGTGCGCAGACGCGTAAACTGTGCGCGAACGTGACTCGTGGTAGGGGTAAGGAGTAGGGAGCGCCATACGTTCGGTGCGGTCGATGCGATCAGTTCAGTTGTTTCCAGTTGTCTCCGAGCTTTCGTACGGATTTGGTTATCTTTTAATTGTTTCGCGCTTCTGTCGATTGTTTCGTTCGATCATTGAGACAAGTGCCGAGTAACGTCGTTGAATCGCTGCGTACAACGACAACGACGTAGTTTATGACGAAGTGTAATTCGCGAAGTGCATACGTTCAGTGTCTGCGGTTTCTTCTTTTAACCAGAAATACCTACATGCTGCTTCCCGAGTGACAGAGGGATTGTGCCGTAGAGACTCGAAGAATGCTGAATCGCGATACCGCGATACACCTCGTTGCCGGAGGGTGGGTTTCGCTTTTTTCCTCTTCTGCGATTTTTCCATTTTTCCATTTTTCCATTTCTCTTTTTTCTTTGTTCTTTGTTCTTCTTGCTTCTTTCTTTTCCATAGAAACGTAATCCTTCGAACGCGTATTCAGGATCCATCGTCAACGCCGGTTATGTGCGTTTCAAATCGCTACTCGATTTCGGAGTTTGTTGGTGTGTTGTGCGCAGCAAGGACCACACATCGCACGTGAAACGTAAAACGTGAGACACGAAAGACGAGCCGAATCCGCGTGTATTTTACGGGATCGTTACGAATCCGATTCGCAGATTGTTTTTGCTTGGTGGAAGAATGGATTACATAAGCGAACCGAGTAGCATTGAACTATGTTTACCTGTATTCCGGTTATGCGCGTTTCCAGCTCGATAACCTTTTTCCGGAGAGCCTCTCGACGATAAGCCACGTTCGACAAAAATGATCGTAAAACGTGTATGGAACGAAACCGTCGACGTCTACGAATCAAATGTTACTCGAGGAATGTTCAAAGTCAACATTACGCACGATCGTGCCCAGCCTTATGAAAAGTTTGTTCACGTTTCAATATGTCTGAGAAACGGTATTCGAATTCTACGGAAGTGTGCGCAGGGCCGGATTAATCGTATTTTGCGTAGTTGCACTTGGAAATATTCGCACAGTTTCTGATTTTTGAAAACGGGATAATGTTAACGAGGAGTTACAGCTAACACAGGAAATTCGAGGCGAGATACTGCGACATCGTAGCCGGCTAGATTTACGTCATCTTTGCCGGTCCCATCTTCCGTTGCGCGGTGCGTGAGCGGGAACGCAAGCGTTGCTGCGTCTGTAGTCAGGTATTTGGAGTGCACCGTGTAAACGATGAAATATTCGTAGCAAACGTTTCGATGATTGAATGCTAAATTATCCGAAATATTAAGACGGTTCCAACGAAAGTACCATTTCTAGAAAAATCGGAGAAAAATCTGTTAGCCCGGGCGATGGTTAGTCTACCGCGGAGCTATTCGTACAGCAAATTCCTGTTGCATCATTAGACCTTTGGTGCTAATTACACATTCGAATCGATGATCCATGCTATGTACCGATCTTTCGCAATCTTCTTTGCTGTCTTCATAATCGATGCATGCGTTACCAAATCTTTCGACTAGACAAATATAGAGAGAACAACGCTAATAATAGCGACAACAACAATCGTTATTTTGGTAGAAGAAATTCTACTTTGTCGTAGTCGGATAAAACACCTGGACGCGTTCCAAGTTCCGATCGATGAAATTTTTCGTTAACGAAGATTCAAGTGTGTACTTTGTCGTGCCGGTGGCCTGTACGCGTTGGTTGTTCGCACAATAGATCGTTCAAATTTAGAAACTGGCGTGTATTTTCTCCGAGTGTCGCAACGTTATCGTTGGAGATTTTTCGCGGTGATTCGTACGGAGGAGTATCGTGCGATCGTCCCGACGTGCCAAGACATGGATGTGATTTATTTATACGTGTACTATAGACATAATACGTTTGCGAATTACGACGACGACGGTGACGGCGACGAGCGGGCCGTTGCTACGGCAAAATTTCACGGGGAAATTGCTACGGGTTCTTGTTGTCGAACGTACCGTCAATTTAAACGCTTGTTAACGCGTTGCCGTTGCGTATTGTACTTGGTCGGTGTGTCCACGTATAGAGGCAACGCGCAGCGACCAAAGTTTTTGAACCTCTGTTTGTTTTGTATCTTATCGTATTCGTGTTTGCGATTGGGGTTAATTTCATGTGCAAACTGCGGATCGTTGTATCGCGCGATGCTATCTGTTATTCGGATGTGGACTAATTTAGTCGTGTTAAAAACAGCGCCGATTGTTAAACGAACGACCCTAGGGGGGTAACCGGTATCTATTTTGTTGTATCGTGTTCCATTTTGTTCCATCTCATTTGATTTCTTGTTTTACAGAGTGGCTGGCACCGCGGGTGCGATAGTCACTTGTCCTTTGGAAGTTGTAAAAACACGGCTGCAGTCTTCTTCTTCCGGTTTTTATCCACCTCCGATAAACAAGGAGCTGACTTCCGGACACGTGACTTGCAAGAGCTTTCCTAAACCGGAACAAAGAAGGCGGTTATGCACAGGAGGCTACACTAGGTAGTTACCACGCGAGAAGCTGATTCGTTGGTTTGCTCGAAACGATTAAAGAATTCTTGGCGAACGGTCGGTGCCGCGCGCGCGCGCGCGCGCGATCGTTGGACAATACCGGCAGGATCGTGCGACGAAGCGATTCTTTAATTATTTCGGGCAATCTGTTCGCATTGTACTAATAACGATGACTCTTTCAGGAAGTTGAAGTAAGCGTTGTCGATAGATGTAAGCGTTGAAAGACAATGGGGGATCCCTGACCTCTTAAAGCTGTTTCGTCGTTAGCATACGCCGCGTAGAAGACGGAACGCGTCGTTTCGATTTAATCGCATCTGCTGAGAGAAATTGCGATAGAAGGCTTCCGCTTAGATTTTCAAAGGATCCACGATGACAAAGAATACGTAGCGGTTTCTTGGTAGACTTAGAAAAACGAGTCTCCTACGAACGCTCTTTTTCCAATGGAATCGTTCGATCGTTGAACTTGCAACCGATTTGCTAATTTTCTCTAGCAAGACTCGGTAAGATACGAGCCGGAAGATCGATTCGTTGCAGACGCGAACGTTAACCCATCGAGATTCCTATCGATCGTTCGGTTCGTCGATGCGGTAGATTCGAGCAGATCGGCCCGGTATTTTTCGATTTATTCGACAATTTCGTCGAAAATATTACGCTCGGGCACTCGAGTACCAACCGTCTGGCATTCGAGCAATAAATTATTTCGATTTACTCCAGTTTGGCCGTGTACTTATACCGGATGTACTATCTATAGTACCTGTACATACTACCTATGGACGTGACCGCTACGCTTGACTGTTCGCGCCCGACTAATTCCCGCATTCGTAGAATTCCATGGCCGAAAATAAATTCTCGGTGGTGGTACATTGTGCTCGGGAACCCCCGAGCGAAAGCGCGAACCTCTTATTAGCGAGAACTCTGTCGTTTCTACTAACAGCCCGCTGATCGTTGATTCCCGTGTGTGCGAAAATAATCTGTCTTTTGGATACCCTAACGAACAAAGAAATACGATAAGTAGATACGTTTGCGGTATCTTTTGTTACACGAAATATCAACCTTTGAAAGAATCCTTCGAACAAAGACTCGAGCAAGGTGTCGAGACAGACGCATATGTATGTATGTATATTCATATACACACATACGTGTATGTCTAGCGTTGGAACTAACATAGAATTTCTAGGTAGACGATGAATAAATTTATCTGGAAAGCGATAAATCGATCGATACTTTTTGTTACAGGCATGCTCTGGTTGCTTTATCTCACTTTGGGGTACCCACCCCTCCTGGAGGCTCTCCTCACAGCCACTCGGCTCCGGGTATCTATCAATGTATAAGATACATCGTTCAGAACGAAGGGACTCGCGCACTGTTCAAAGGGCTTGGTCCTAACCTCGTCGGCGTAGCTCCCTCGAGAGCAATTTACTTTTGCGCCTATTCGAAGAGCAAGGTCGCCTTTAACTCGATTCTACCACCGGACACGGCTGTCGTTCACGTTTTCTCCGCATTCTGTGCTGGTAAGTTGATCCCGTTGCTTCGTTTGCGTCAGTTTCCCACCGTATTCTTCCCAAGGGAAGGAAAGGAAAGGAAAGGAAAGGAAAGGAAAGGAAAGCGAAGCAGAGAACTAGCCGAGAGAGAGGAGAAAAGAGGCCGAAGAAAGGGAGAGAGTGATCGAGCGAGAACAGGTTGGAGGCGAAAGCGGAAAAACATTGGGTCGGGAAGAGGCAGCGCGAGGTCTTCGATCGACTCGTCCTACACGGAAGGAAATAGATCGAATCGTGTACGACCGAGGCATTAACCGCCTTGTAATCTCGAACAATACTCGGTCGTTGTTATCGGCTCTTTCGCTTTCTTTTTTTCGCGGTCGACTAATCTAGTTGGCTTTAGATAGAAGAAGCTCAGTGGGGTCACGTCGCGCGTCATTAGCCTTATCTAGCAAATGGATTCACCCCACGGAACGTTTACCGCACGGAACTGGTACAAGCGGTACACAACGGAGACCACGTTTTCCACTCTCGTCTTTGAAATTCGTCGATCCGTACCAACCGTGTTATTCGACGTACGCGCGCGTACGACAGACGATGGCGCGACTACTAGAAAACGAGCATAGTTTCGGGTTTCCGGTGTTCCGTAATCCGTCGGACGACAGGTATCTTATCCGAGGAAAGATAAACTCGAACCTCGGACGTTTGTCGCGAAGAAACCGCTGCGCAGGGGTGCTTCGGCACGATAAGAAGACAATATCGCAAACGCGACGCGTTTCGATACGGTCCTTGGTTAGGACGCCGGTCGTCGGACTCGAACCAAACGATACTTTTACAGGATCGCTCGGCTATTCGAGACACGCGCGGTCACGGAATCGAGCGTTCCTCGCATGCGAATCGGTTTCGCGATCGATACGCGAGTCTTTCTCCCATAATTTTCTGTTTTTCCACAGGCTGTATCCTGTGAGACACGGGCGTTAGGACATAGGACACGCGATACGGATGAAACGGACGACTTCCTCGTTGTTTCTATTTCTTAGGCGCGCGAGCGATCGCGTCCAATTGCGACCGACCTTGGTGCACGCACGAGCAATTGGGCCTCGTTTGTACTCGCATCCGGCGCGCGCAGAGGAAAAATCATCCAGAGTCTCGAGCGATTCGAGATCGCGTACGCTTCGGGACACCGGACGTGCTACCCATCCCGCGCGGACAGTCTCGACGATGGTTGAACCAAAACAGTGTTTTAAAGCGACCATCGTTGCTATTTCGGTCGCAGATAACGACCAACTATTTACTAGTCGCTATTGCGTCTTTACGATCGGTATTTACGTAAGACGCGCGCGCGTTCCGTTTTCTTCAAAGACTCGAAAAAACGGTCGTTAGAATATTTTCGAATTCGTAGGCGCGCGCTCGGATCGTCCGGTTTCGCTCGCTCGGTCGGTCCTCCGCTGTAGCAAGAGACGCGCGCGCGTAGCCGAAAGTGAAAGCGCGCTATTAATTACATTGGGGCAGGCCAGACGCGCGCGGCCTTAGAATATATGTACGCGTACGAAAAGTAGATGCTTCGATAATATCTTGGCTTCCCTTCGATGTTGCGACTTTGGAGATTCGATATCGCGATGTAGCGATGTCGCGATATCGTATTATCGCGATTCTAATCCTGTAAATCTCTTAGCATCCGTTGAAACACGTTCGCAACGTTCGCGAATCTCGGAAAACTCGCGAAACAGATATGAGAGGCACTGCCGGTGCACGCGTCTATTTTTATCCAAACGACCGTGTAATTGAACGGCCGGTCTCGCTGTTATTTACAAGCGACCGAAGCAAAACTAGCAGCACGAGTTTATACTTTTCTACGCATCCCAGGGAATGCGGGTCGGTAGTCGATGCACCCGGTGTATCCGATGTACTCGCTGCAGCATCGTTTCGTTCGGTCGAGTTACGAGATTCGGAAACGATGCTCGAAGAAAACGACGGACCGACCTAGCATGCGACGCGTTTACGCGATCTCTGTCGACTCGATGTCCGCGTTGGAACGGAGGAAAGACGATCGCGTCCGTTCGACCTACCTCACCGAAGTAGTTTAGAGCCGTGGCTCTCTTGGATGCCGGACGGAGGAGGGACTCGTGGTGCGCCGCGAATGGCTGGCCTTCGCTTCGGCGAGCCGAGCGACGCGTTTAGATCTTACGATCGGAAATACCGGCCTCGAGTCTCGAGTCTCGAGTCTCGACTCGCTCGCGCAATCCGGATGCGTCGCCGCGACGATAAACGTCGGTGCGACGGCCGACGACGGCTTTCGGCGAACTGGGTCAACGCGTCGTCGGCGTATACTTGCCCGATCGGAAATTCTGTTCCAGGTAGCTAGCGAATCTACGCGCGCTTAGGTGCAGTAAGTCGGGACGCCGTCCTGCTGCAAGCAGACGAGCTTCGCGTTCGGCGAGTCGACGAAAAGCTCTTTCACGACGCCGTTTACCGTCGCCATAGAGTACCGTCGGCTTCTCGTTCCTCCCAGCTTGGGGATTTCGATGTCCATTCCGATGGCCTTGGTGTAGGAGCCTGTCGGGTCTGCCAGCATCCTCACCTGCGTTTCAAAGTCCACGTTCGAGCACGAAATTGTACGCGTCGAAGCCGAATTTGAAATCGCAATCGCCGAGCAATTGGAACCGAACCAATTCTCTCTCTCTCTCTCTCTCTCTTTCTCTTTTCCTTTAACGTAGTCGAATCCGACCGAAATGAAATAGAGTCGCTCGTACTCGAATATTTTCACGCGTTTCTCGACGCGGGGATTCGTCGAGAGTCGAGCGTTGCGATCAGCGGCGTTACCTTGTCCTCCGCACCCTCGAAGTTTCCCCAGGCGGAAGCGACGAACGGGTCGTTGACGGAGACGCAAACGATCTCTTGGAATCCCAGATACCTCAGGTCGGCCGATCTATCGTAATTAGCGCAGGTTATTTGATCGGTCGTTGAGATCGTTCGCGCAGATTCGTCGTACTTTTCTACGAATCCTCTCAAGTGGACCTTGGAACATCCTGGCACAAACGCTCCGGGCACTCCGAAAACGATGGCCCGTTTGTCGGACAGCAGATTCAAAATATTGGTTCGATTGCTCGGTAGTGCTTCGTACAAGGTCAGACTGGGCAGTCTGTCGCCGATTCTGATACGGGGCATCCTCGATACGGCTTCTCGGAGCTTCGCCGACCGTTGCAAAATCAGTCGGAAAGCGAGCGATTCGTTTATTTTGTTCGCCGTCGATGGTTCCTCTCATCGCCTCGCCTCGGATCGAATCGAATCGAATCGAATCGAATCGAATCGAACCGAATCGCGTCGATTCGAATTCTCCGATCGGAGCACACAGGGTCGCGTCACAAGTGTTTGCTCGTCCGAAAGGAGCAACAGATACATGTGTATATCCTGTTCGACGATAGCGAACCAAGCGACCGACTGCTACGGCATAAATTTGCATTTGTACGGAAAGAGGATAACGAGAGAAAAGCGATTATTTAGAACCGTCGCGATTCGTCGAATTCGTTCGGAACGTCGACGATCGTTACGGAAGAACTCGAGTGACCCCTGAAACTGCGAGTAAACTCGGGGAAACCGTGCCCAGCGGCCACGTACCGATCGGATTAAAGACACGTGCGTTCATTTTTCAGGTTTCGTGGCATGCACGTTGACAAATCCTATTTGGTTCGTGAAGACCAGGCTACAGCTGGACCACCGAACAAACAGAATCACCGCGATGGAATGCGTGCGCAGGATATATCGTCAATCGGTACGGATACACGTTTCCTCGCAACGCAGCGTCCTAGACGAGGACGACGGCCACCGTTCATCCTCTCTCGCTTTCGCGGATTCGGTCCATCGACCAAGATCTAAACCGTGATCGTGACCGAGATCGAGAAGAGCGAGTTTTTTCGAGCGGTCCAGCGGCAACCGAGCGAAATACGACGATCGTCGAAATGCGCGAGAAAACTCGCTCGCAACCGGATCTCTCGTAGTTTCCGCGATGCTCGTTCCGAACGCGAGAGCTCACCGATATACAATACGCGTATACCGTAGCGCGTCCGCGAACGATGGAAAGCGCGCGTTCGTTCGAGGCGTTGGCGTTGATCGGGGAGTTTGATCACCCCGAGGGCATATAGCGGATGCGCGTGCCGGCATACGGCGCGAGAGCTTCCTGTCTGCTGGTGCACAGTCTCCGTGGTCGATCGCGTTGCATCGCGATTCATCGCCACGGAAACACCTTCGACGAGTCGTGCTCATCGATCGTACACGCTCGACCAGCCGAAGCAACGTTCCACTCTTTTCGCCGATCGATACCGAGACCCGGAACAACGTGGCAACAACTGCGCGACCGCATTTACAGCTTATTAACGGCTATGTTCTTGACAACTGTCGGAAAAATAGTTTCGATCGATGACGACGCGACCGCTCGGATTTTACTTTCCGGCAAATCCCGAGAACGATTCCGAACGGTTTCGAACGGTTTCGAACGGCTTCGAACATCGAAGCATCGGTCCTCGAGCATCGATGGCCGGCGCTTCGTCCGGTTAACGGATCGATGGCTCGCTCCGTTGCGTGCTAGCAACGTCGAAGATGGAACGTTGTCCAATCTCGTCTCGATCTTCGTTTCGTACCGTTATCGTTTCTGGGTTAAATCGTGTATATGCTCGAAGCGAAAATATCTCGAGAACGTAGTACGTATACGCGCGGAACGAGAACATTCTAGACCTGGCAAACGATGGTCGTTGCGACTCTGTACGCCTAGGAATCGAGCAAGAAAACTGCTACCGATTCGGACAGAGAAGAAAACACTGGGTTCGATCGCGCGTTTTCAAGAGCGAACAGAGCCAAAGCGAACGAAACGTTCGTGGACGACGACTCTATTGCGAAAGAGATTCGTTCGGAAGACGAGAGTTCGCATCGATTCGAATTTCCTTGGATCGCGTCGGAATAGTTTGGACAACGCGATCGCCGCATCGCAATTGGTCTCGCGTCAGATCTATAATCGGCCAGCGCGATCTGCGAATAGTAAAACGGGACTAAAATATCGATTGCGATATTTAAGCGTGGCTCTCTCGACAAAAACAACGCGACCGTCTTCGTCCAAACGATGCGTCGCTCCTGTTCTATCGTCTCTCTCGCTCCGTTATGCCCGGCGCGACCCACCTCCAACCAGACAACGCTCTCTCGGCATTCTTTTTTCGAAGGGCGAACGAGGGCGTTGTTGCGGCCAAGAAATTCCGTAAACGCGGGTAGGAGGCTGACGCCTGCTTACGAATTTGTTCGCGAGTCACGAACGACATTGTATTCGTTGGTTTGGAGCTCGTTCAACGCGCCGGCGTGTCCGCGTCTCTGCAGCTAGACGAGGGGACTTGTATAAATGAACGCGTCGATCGACGATTGCAACGTTGTTCGGTTCCATTAGCCACCAACATTTTCACTTTCGCGATCACGCCGTGCAAGTGTGATTTAAGAATTTTGTAACGATAACGATAACGACGACGAAGATAACCGATAACCGATAACGGGGCCCATCCGAGAATCCGTTCGCATCGTATACTCGAGCGCGTATATCGTTAGCGTTTATCGACGAGAGTATTTCGAATCGTACATTCTTACCTGTACGATTTAAGTAAAAACGACGATGTTCGCGAATGAAACGATTTCACGAACGAGATCGATCGCGAAGCGCGAGTTTTCGTAATGCGATAACGGCTTATCGATCGTCGTTCGAACATCGAATACAGCGTCTGCCTTATCGTCGCGGGGGTCTGCGGATATTTATCGTGCGCTCTTTGATTATTTGCATTATCGGAGACAACCGCGCGCCGTGTAACGAGATTGCTCGCGATCCGATCTAACCGGCGTCGCGACGTAACACGCACCGGACGGATGAACGCTTTGCTCGCGAAGCCTTTCGAGTGTTCGCGTCCGAACTAGCGTAGGAGATTCGACGAACCGGAACGTGCCAAACGATTGAGCGTCCTTCCTTCTGTTTCAGGGGATTTTGGGATTTTACAAAGGCATCGTAGCATCCTACGTAGGCATAAGCGAGACTGTGATACATTTTGTGATCTACGAGGCTGTAAAGGCTTGGCTGGCGAACCTCAGGTCCAGAGTCTCCAGGACGGACGACAGCAAAACGATCGGCGACTTTATCGAATTTATGGCGGCAGGATCCTTCTCGAAGACCATAGCGTCCACCATCGCTTACCCCCATGGTAATACGTCTGCCCTTGCTATTTTCGAGAGTTATCAGGTTTAGAGATCGACTATGGATATTTTCGAGATGTTTTCGAGATGTTTTCGAGAGACGTTGCCAATGCCTCGACGATTGGCTTCGATTCAAGAATCGGGTTTTACCGCGCAAACGTTTTCCAAGCTTGCTTCGAAAACCTATGAAAACGAGTCGGTGGCGGTGACATTGAACGGCTCTCGACATTGAACCAGCGGCAGAAGATTCTGTCGCGTCGCGTTGTAGCTATCGCGAACGAAGCGATAGAGCCAGCGAATGTAACGATCGCGGAACCGATCGGGTCGGCCGTTTCGATCGATCGAACGCGTCCCGATTTTTTCGGGCGTGTACGAATCTATTTTTCTCGCATGTTTCCAAGAAATCGGCAATCCTCTGTCTTTGAAACGCCGTTTAAACTGGCTGTTTTCGACGAACCTCCCTATCTAGGACAAAGATTTCTAATGGATTCTGACGTTTGCAGAGGTCGCGAGAACACGATTAAGGGAAGAAGGGACAAAGTACCGAGCGTTCTGGCAAACTCTGAGAACGGTGGTCGCCGAAGAAGGGCCAAACGGGTTGTACCGTGGACTGGGCACTCATCTGATCAGGCAGATTCCGAACACGGCCATCATAATGGCGACCTACGAAGCTGTCGTGTACATTCTGAGTAGACACTTTCATCAGCGCACCAGTGGAAGAAACAGCATCGCCAGTAACACCGGATCGCAGTTCTACGCGGAAGCGAAGGCGAAACGAGAGCTGGCCTAGGGCTTGCTTACGGCCCCCGAATAAAGGGCCGATGGTTTCTTTCGATTTGTGAATACAAACGTCCAAGTGTTGAAACGACGAGGCGTCCAGAGACGCCAGGGAGAGACCCTCCGTTGGAACCGTGTTGTTCGCGCCATCGGTTGGTGCCATATTTCCATATTTGTTACATTTCAAGGTAGCAAAAGGTATCGCAGCGCGTTGAACGCTCTGCGCTCTGTAAGTGTAGCAAAACGTAGTCCTTCCTCCTTTCAGGTAGCATACATTCGTACACGGAACACCGCCCCGTCTGTAGTACCCTGCCGAGAAACGCACGGAACACGAAGCGGGAACCACAGCTGGATTTATCGAGTCGATTGCTTCCAAGTACGAAGCGAGTTTCGCGCCTAAACCTCACAACTCACCTCGCCTCGCCTCGCCTCGCCTCGCCTCGCCTCGTCTCGTCTCGTTCCACAACGATCGTTGAACAGAACTCGTATCGTTATCAGCGGGATCGTAATTCGAATCGCGATCGCAACTGCTCTTCCGTTAGCCGTGAAACGGTCGATACGTTTTCATCCGTTTTAGATATTTTTTCTTTTCTCTTCCGTATTCCGAGGTTTCCGAAAAAACTTTTCGCAGCTTTCGAGTTTCATTTTCTTACTGGAATTGCGCGCGCGCGCGATAATAGTCTTTCTTCTAGGACGCGAACAAATTTGTAAAGATTTCAGATTTTTCACCGATTACCTTTTACCGCCAACCGAACACTCGTAATCTATCATCGAATCGTGATCATCGATTTTTGTTATTCTTCCAAGTGTGATATTTCGTATCTCGCGACGTCATTTTCAATTCTGAACGATCGTTCGGTGTGCTTTGTATTCAGCGTTAGCGTAAACACGTATTATTACTATTATTATTCTATCGTGACTTAGTTACGTTTGATTTTTGCAATCTTATCGTGTATCAACGAAACAGCCGATCGAGCAGAACTCCTGGGACAATCGATGCGCGGGTTATAAATCGTAAAGTCAACGAAAGATGAATTCTCTAAGAAATTCTATAAATCTTTGGTTCGCTTTTTCCAAGTCAGCTTTCAGGAGTCCTTCAACGACGAACACCGTTCCGTCGTTGATATTTCGAATGGCGAAATCATAGCGACCATGAATTCTGTAAAACGTAGCAGTAAGTGTTGTGTACATAAAATAAAAATGCGGTATAACTAGCCGTTGAGTTGCAGCCATTTGTATTTTTTCGATCGCATAGAACGCGCGTTGTTCGCAGCATCGAAGAAAGCGAGGAAGAACGATGTTTCCGCAACAGAGGGTAAGTATTATATTATCGGTTGCTGTTCGGTTTCCTTCGTTGTATCCATGGCACGCGAATATACTTGAATATATATGTGTGTGTGTGTGTGTGTGTGTGTGTGTGTGTGTGTGTAAATTTATATGCATCGTCGAATAAAATCAACGAATAATGTTGTACGCAACATCTTTCGCAATTCCTCGGAAAACTTGATTCGAATGCTTATAATATTATTTCGGGGACCGTTTAACCTTTGACTCCACCTTTTCTGTTTCTGTAACTAGAACCACCTGTTCCGCATTCCGAGCAAGAACAGGACACGGGATAAACTATCGGTTTCTTGAATATTTTCTGGTCTTCGCACATNCGATTTTTTCGGGCGTGTACGAATCTATTTTTCTCGCATGTTTCCAAGAAATCGGCAATCCTCTGTCTTTGAAACGCCGTTTAAACTGGCTGTTTTCGACGAACCTCCCTATCTAGGACAAAGATTTCTAATGGATTCTGACGTTTGCAGAGGTCGCGAGAACACGATTAAGGGAAGAAGGGACAAAGTACCGAGCGTTCTGGCAAACTCTGAGAACGGTGGTCGCCGAAGAAGGGCCAAACGGGTTGTACCGTGGACTGGGCACTCATCTGATCAGGCAGATTCCGAACACGGCCATCATAATGGCGACCTACGAAGCTGTCGTGTACATTCTGAGTAGACACTTTCATCAGCGCACCAGTGGAAGAAACAGCATCGCCAGTAACACCGGATCGCAGTTCTACGCGGAAGCGAAGGCGAAACGAGAGCTGGCCTAGGGCTTGCTTACGGCCCCCGAATAAAGGGCCGATGGTTTCTTTCGATTTGTGAATACAAACGTCCAAGTGTTGAAACGACGAGGCGTCCAGAGACGCCAGGGAGAGACCCTCCGTTGGAACCGTGTTGTTCGCGCCATCGGTTGGTGCCATATTTCCATATTTGTTACATTTCAAGGTAGCAAAAGGTATCGCAGCGCGTTGAACGCTCTGCGCTCTGTAAGTGTAGCAAAACGTAGTCCTTCCTCCTTTCAGGTAGCATACATTCGTACACGGAACACCGCCCCGTCTGTAGTACCCTGCCGAGAAACGCACGGAACACGAAGCGGGAACCACAGCTGGATTTATCGAGTCGATTGCTTCCAAGTACGAAGCGAGTTTCGCGCCTAAACCTCACAACTCACCTCGCCTCGCCTCGCCTCGCCTCGCCTCGCCTCGTCTCGTCTCGTTCCACAACGATCGTTGAACAGAACTCGTATCGTTATCAGCGGGATCGTAATTCGAATCGCGATCGCAACTGCTCTTCCGTTAGCCGTGAAACGGTCGATACGTTTTCATCCGTTTTAGATATTTTTTCTTTTCTCTTCCGTATTCCGAGGTTTCCGAAAAAACTTTTCGCAGCTTTCGAGTTTCATTTTCTTACTGGAATTGCGCGCGCGCGCGATAATAGTCTTTCTTCTAGGACGCGAACAAATTTGTAAAGATTTCAGATTTTTCACCGATTACCTTTTACCGCCAACCGAACACTCGTAATCTATCATCGAATCGTGATCATCGATTTTTGTTATTCTTCCAAGTGTGATATTTCGTATCTCGCGACGTCATTTTCAATTCTGAACGATCGTTCGGTGTGCTTTGTATTCAGCGTTAGCGTAAACACGTATTATTACTATTATTATTCTATCGTGACTTAGTTACGTTTGATTTTTGCAATCTTATCGTGTATCAACGAAACAGCCGATCGAGCAGAACTCCTGGGACAATCGATGCGCGGGTTATAAATCGTAAAGTCAACGAAAGATGAATTCTCTAAGAAATTCTATAAATCTTTGGTTCGCTTTTTCCAAGTCAGCTTTCAGGAGTCCTTCAACGACGAACACCGTTCCGTCGTTGATATTTCGAATGGCGAAATCATAGCGACCATGAATTCTGTAAAACGTAGCAGTAAGTGTTGTGTACATAAAATAAAAATGCGGTATAACTAGCCGTTGAGTTGCAGCCATTTGTATTTTTTCGATCGCATAGAACGCGCGTTGTTCGCAGCATCGAAGAAAGCGAGGAAGAACGATGTTTCCGCAACAGAGGGTAAGTATTATATTATCGGTTGCTGTTCGGTTTCCTTCGTTGTATCCATGGCACGCGAATATACTTGAATATATATGTGTGTGTGTGTGTGTGTGTGTGTGTGTGTGTGTGTGTGTGTGTGTGTGTGTGTGTGTGTGTGTGTGTGTGTAAATTTATATGCATCGTCGAATAAAATCAACGAATAATGTTGTACGCAACATCTTTCGCAATTCCTCGGAAAACTTGATTCGAATGCTTATAATATTATTTCGGGGACCGTTTAACCTTTGACTCCACCTTTTCTGTTTCTGTAACTAGAACCACCTGTTCCGCATTCCGAGCAAGAACAGGACACGGGATAAACTATCGGTTTCTTGAATATTTTCTGGTCTTCGCACATCAATTCGATTACGCGTTTCGTATATTCCGTGGGTTGACAACAACGGCAATCGACCACCGGATTCCAATCTGCGAAGAAAATAAAGAAAATGAAGAAAATAAAGAAAACGCGAAGAAAAGTAAAAAGGAGATGAATTTTCGGTGGACCGGCTCTACGCCGATAGATGTCTGCGTCAGCTTTACCTGTATCGAAGCTCGAGGTGGATTCGCATTTTCCTCGACATTCCGCGATGCCAACAACGGGAGAAATGTTCTTGCAGAGTCCGTGTTTGTGATGCGTAAAGGTGAACATATCGAGCGTGGCGCCTGCATCCACGACATTGGGAACGCACTGGTCGGCTACGAGATTTTGGGACGTGAAATTGCACAAATTGCAACAATCGTCAGTGTAAATCGAATCCGGAGGGCAGTCGGTCGTGTCGGGACAAACGACGGTGCTGGTGATCACGGATAGTTGACCCCCTTGATCCGTGCAGGCGTAGGAAGTGCAGTTATCGGAGGACGTCCAACTGGCACCAGCTTCGTACAACGCGTTCCCAAGCACGCAATGCGTTTGCTTGCATCCCCCGCAACATCGACCGTCTTCTCCTTCTTCGTAGGTCCAACCGATCGCGCAGTTCCTCCGACATACCTCCACTTCCGTGTATTTTGTCAAGCTCGAATTCAACGCGCAATATTCCGTGACACAATCGTCTACCACGGATTTCCATCGTTCACCGGGTTCGTAGACTTTGCCGTTGTAACGGCAGCCGGTTTTGACGAACTGTGGACAACACTGGCCCGGAATCGATCGGTTTTCTATTCTAAATTCCGTTTCCTCCCAAGGGTCGACGAACGGGCATTTTTCGACGATCGACCGAACGTACACGGTTCCATTGGTATCGGTCTTGCAAGAGTACTTGGTGCAAAAGTCGACCGAATACCACTCCTCGTCGATGTTTTTTAGTTCGTTCTCAACAACGCAAGCAACCGGAACGCATCTGCCGCAACAAACGCCGCTCCCGTCATCGTCGTCGGCGGCGGCGGCGGCGGCGGCGGCGGCGGCTCGATATTCGAAACCTGCGTCGCAAACGGTATCGCATTCCTGCACTTTGACCTGTTTTCGCACGCCGTTCTCGTCTCGCACGCACTCGATCGAAACGCAGGCGTCGTCGGGATTCGGTTGCCAGACCTCTCCAACGTTGTACACCTTCTCCAGGTGCCTGCAGGCGGACCTCACGAAATCGGGACAACATCGGTCCTTCGGAAGAACCTCTTCCACGACGAAATCGAACGCGTCGGGATGGTCCGCGGCTCGCGAACGATCGCATTCGATCGTGACGCAGTTGGGCTTTGGTAGTTCCGCCGTGGATTCGCAGATGCAGGAAGTGCATTTTCCATCCATCCATCGGTCCCCTACATTTTTGGCCACCACTAGCTCCGACAATTCGATTCGATCGTCCGTCGCGACGGCGTAGAGGCAAAGATCGTCGGGCGGTGAGCATTTGTGCTCGGCGCAACAAGCGTTCTCGGACGCGAGGGTCTTTAGCCGATGGTATTGCGGGCAAGTCGGTGGCGGAGGACAGGACTTTGGATCGCAGATGGACATCGATCTTGGACAACATCCGGAAGCGTTGATCACCCGCACGTAACCAGGAAGGATCGTCTCGACTTCGAGAGTCGGCCGATCGGATAGCGGATCGGGACACCCGGACGGCGGTAGACATTCGCAAATGAATTTCTTGCATCCGTCGTCGTCGGTCGATAACTTTAGTATTTGACCGTAGCCGCAATCCGGCATCTGAGTCTCTTCCGTACAGAATGGCGCCGTAGTTGTCGCGGTGTCCGTTACGGGGATACAAACGTATTTCGTGCAACAGTCTTTCTCCGTTCCATTCACGGCAACCGGTTTCATGTTCTCTTCGCAGATGGTGTCCACGACTGGGCATTCGGTTCTACGACAGTTGACAACGTTTCGGTCGCAGACGCATCTGGTGCAGACGTCCGGAGACCACTGGTCGCCCATCGCGTGACCTTCCTCGTCACAAACGAGACATTTGTCCCTTGGAACGCAAGTGTCGTTGCGAAGAACGAAATCGCCGGGACAGAAGCAGCCCTCCTCGACGTTGTTCGCGCACCCACCGCGGCCGTTGTCGTCGTTTGATATCTCGTTGACGGTGTCGCACGTCTCCGTGCAACCCGTTTCGCACGCTCGATACTCGAGATTCGGTGGACAATCGTACGGGCATATCTCGCTGCTTCTCCAAGTCGGGCACACCTGCATCTGCCGACATTTTCTCGCGTACGCCTCGAAGCTGTCGCAGAACTCGCCCCCGGTGCACAAACTGTCTCGACAAGCCATCAAATACGGTATCGGATCGACAAAGTTATGACATTGTCCAAAGTCTACGAGATTCAATAAATTTCTGCACGGATCTTGATCGGCCGGCGGCAAGACGCATTTGCTCCGATTACGCGAGGCGCACGAATCCGTGTCGAAATCGGTGCCGCGCGGCGATTCTTTGACCGACCAGCTGTTACCAAAGTCCTCCGCGTCGTTGGCGATCTAAAAAAGAAACGTTACGATGCGGTAGAGAACGATCAACGATAACGATAATATAGGAGGTATCGTACCTCTCCGTCTTGTTTTCTCGAGTCGTCCTCGGAATCGTCGTTGCAGTTGCCGCAAAGACCCTCCGTCGCTCCTCCGAAGATGTGCGAGGGAAGCGTCAGGGTGAAGGCAAAGTTGGTCATATAGGCGGTCACTTCCAGTTGCAGCGAAGGTATCAGTAAACGCAGCTTCTCCGAGGGTGTTCGTTCAAGAATCGACCAGGATGCGTTGAACGGATACGAGGCCACCTTTGTACCATCCACCGTCGCTTCCAACTAGCGGGAGCAAATATCATATGGTGTAAAATCTATTTCTCGTCCTGTTACATTTTTCTTTAGTTCTTCCATTCGCTGTTATTTTACCTGCCGAGAAATCGCATCGTTCGCCACGCGAACAATGTGCTCTTTGTAAAGCAGCGTGAGCGCTTCTACGCAGCTATCGGTATTGCTGTTGGTATCGGTATTGTTATCGGTATTGCAAGCTCCGTTCGAGACCAACACTTGGTACGCGTGATCTTCCTTTCCCTTTCTATTATCGATAACGTCCCTCGACAGAACGTACGTGCAATTACCGTCGAACTGGACGTTCCTTCTATCGAAGCTGATAAACCTTGAATTTCCGAGCCACTCGCAGGTACAATCTTTGCATTGCGACGCAGGCACGCATTCGTCGCCGTTGCGAACCGTTCCTTCGGGACAGAAACATCCGGCGAAACACACTCCTTCCATCACCGGGCATGGGTCTATTTCTTGCAAGTTGTCGCAGCTGGTCTCGCATTTGTTCCTACAAAATCGATTGAAATGCGAAGATAAACGAGAGCATTAGGATTCTCGAAACGGACAAGCGGGGATCGACGGATGTCTTTAAGCTCACCTAAAGCAGTCCCTGTGAACGAACGGCGGCGCACAGACGGCAGGACAATCGTGAGTGCTTCTCCAAGTGGAGATATCTATGTCCAAATCACCGGCCTGACATTCGGTAACGAAACTGGTCAACGCGCGACAACGACAATCGTCGTACGTTCGATTGCTTCGCAGACAATTGCACGCGCTTTCCATGCAGTAGGACGCAAACTTGTCCAGATTCAAGATGTCGGAGCAGGTCGCGAACGACGTATCTCTGACCGTATCGCAGATTTTCCAGCTCTGCGCCTGCAGGTCGTAGGGGCATACCTGAGGGTCGCATTCCGGCACCCCCTCCATCGCCCAGCTATCGCCAAACTCGGCCGTGGTTCTTGCTCGATTTCCATCGGGCAGTTGCTTGTCGTTCCACGCATATCCATCGAAGTAACCGCACAAACCGTCCACTCGCGAAGCCAACTTCGTAGAAACGCCCAGTTTCGCGTTCGAATTCGAGTCCCAAATTACCCAGAACCCATAGTAATTGGACACCAAATACGTGACATCGCCGATCGAGGATATCTTGAACAACGAGTATTTGTCACCGATTCGTGCCAATTGATTCGGGGCGAAGCTGTACTCGTTGATTTCGACCCCCATGTCCGGATACAAAACGATCACGTCGTCGTCCAAAGTCACTACCAGATTTCGGCTGCAGCGACCCGTTCGCGAGTCGCACTGCTTTTCCACTGTAACGTCGATGCGATAGCATACGACATCGGGTAACTATGCCGATAAGAACGAGGGATCTACTTACGCGTAATATACCACTGGTTCGTGTACATATTCCTCGCCAGAATGTGGTTGCAGACGTCGTACTTGTACTCCAACCGATCGAACGTGGTGAACGTTCTTCCCGTTACATTGCAAACAGCTTCCACGGGTGCAGGAGGTTTGCAACTATACTTTCGGCACTTTTCGAGTTTATACATGCTCATCTTTTCGTAAACTACCGTATAACCCGGTGGACAAGATGCTTCTGGACAGGTTTGCGGCTTGCCTTGGTCGATAATCGGCAGTGGTTTGTCGGGTATGCAGACAAATTGTTCGCATCGAGTTTCGTTTTCTGGTTTCTCGGATATCCCGAATATTCCGGCTATCCCGGCCATTTTGGCATCGGGTGCCGTCGACCAAGAGTACCGCTGCATCGATTTCCTAATAAAAAGCGTTTCCATTGTTACTGCTACATCGGAGAAGAAATATTTCAAGTTTGCGACATACTCATCGATATACCTGAATCCTTTGGTTCCGCCAGGACGTCTGGACAAAGATTTCATCCCAGACTTCCTGCGAGATTTCTTCGAATATTCGAAAGACTTTGATTTCGATGGTCGTAGAACCGTCTTGTAACCGGCCGGACATACTGGATCTTGGCATGGTTCCGGCGTACCTGAAGCAACGTACGATTCAAACGTTTCTCGATTCTGTTCTTGTTTCGGATCTTGTCGATCCAAACGAAACGAATCTATATTACCAGTGGTCGACGCGGCGGTCGACGCGGTGGTCGCCGCGGTGGTCGACGCGGTGGTCGACGTGGTGGTCGACGCGATCTCCGATGCGGAAGAAACGGTCGTCGAAGTCGCGTCTCGACAATCTCTCTCGTCGTCGGGGCAATCTTGAATACCGTTGCACCAGAAATTCTCATCGATACAAACCTCGCTGGTCGGACAACGACGCGTACCGGCTGGACAAGGTTTGCACACGCAATTGCACAGTTCGTTTATCACCGGTCTCATTTCGGAATCGCGACAAGGCTCGCATTTCGTTGGCCGACAGAAGCCGATTCCACCCAAGATGCACATGCACTCTTGGCAATCTTCGTCGATGTACTTTGTGCCAACGTTGTACCTACGAAATAATATATAGCGATCGAATATCGTGCATTTCGGATTTCCATCTTTTCGGATTTCGATTGTTCACTCACGAAACGTGTCCCACTACGCAGGGACATTCCTGTTTGGCGACGCAGGAATTCCCGTTCCACCAGTCCGAGGGTTCGGGGCACGGGCAACCAGCGGTTTCATTCTTATACGGTATCCCTTCGCAAACGCTGCAATTGCCGATCTCGGTGAACGGTGTCGTCGATTCTGCCTTGTCGGTGGTGGATCTCGTTACGGAAGCTGTAGAAATCGTTATAATCTCATTTCAGATCGATCGTATCGATTCGTTCGAAAAGACGTCGATCGATCGCTACTCACGATACGGTCGGAAACAACCGAGTACTTCCAATTTCAAGCCTACACGTTCGTGCCATTTTACCGGCTGCACTTTCAGGTGCCTCGCGTGCAGCGGTTTGTCGAAATAGTTCTTCGTTGGCGTTTCGGAGTCAAAGTTGCCCAAGTAGATCTTTTCGAGACCTTTTTCATCGAGCACCGGGTTCCAGCGGCGATCGTCGTTGCTGTAAGAGACTTTGTAAGCGGTCGTCCATGTACCCTCACCGCCTTTGGTAACGATTCCCGTTAAGGTACGGGGCTCCAGGAAATCAATTATCACGTATTGATACGGGTTGTCTAATTTCGGGTGCCAAACCCGCGGCGACGTCAACTTGAGATTCGGCAATAAATCCGTTGCGGAGGAAGACGCGGAAATTTGCTCGATGAAAATCAAATCGTTGTCCAAACCCATCGGCTCGTCGCACGCTAACGATGGAAAGATAACAGAATTATACCGTCTACCGTCTACCAGTCTTCTACGCGGTGGTCTATATAGCTTACCTGGCTCGGCAGTGTCCTCGGTGAACGCCGTTGTCGTCACGGAAACACTTTCTACTCCTGGAGTACTGGCGAGCGTGAACTCTTGACAACCGAGTAGCTCTACTTTCACCGCTATTCCATTGTGCCAAGTGAACGGGTTTATCCGAACGACCTTTGCTTCCACGGGTTCGTCGAATTTCTGCTCGACCGGCCTAAATTGATCTACGGGTCCTCGAAATAGTTTCGGTTCCCGCTTGTCGTTCAAAACGTAAGAGAAGGCAGCCCCGTTTTCCGAGAACAGCACCCTGTAGCTGGTGACAAATGCGTCTTCCAGATCGCTGCCTTGCAGAATAACGCCGTAGACGGGTTCCGGCCTCTGGAACTCGACGTCGAGCCTACAAACGATTGTACGACGCGAGACTAATATCTCGAGACTATTCTCTCTCGTTCCCTAATATTCGTTCTCGATAACTAACTGTAAACGATGTCGCTTACCATTGGTCCGGTGATTCGTACTCGGGTTTCCAGTAGCCTTTGTTCGAACCTTGATCGCTCAACGATGCATACTCGGGCAAGAACATGGAACCTCTGACGCTGCTCGCATCGAAGGTAACTCGTTCGTTCAAGTACGGAATTAGAGGAACGAAACGATTGCTGGAGCAATTCGGTGGCGGATGAACGGTGCTGGGCACTACGATCGTTAGCTCCGTCGGACTCGTAGTTGTTGATTCTTCGTGGAACGAAGATGTGTACAGAGGCGTGGACGGGGGTGTAGACGGAGGTGCGAACAGCTTCTCGGTCGTCGTCTCCTGGACGATATCGGTGCACAACGATTTGTCGCAGGTGTAAAAATTATCGATGCACTGACAGATCTCGCATTCCGATTCCTTCAACACAGCCCCGGGAATGATCGGTTCTCCTTGATGCGATTTACATGTACAGTCGGCTTCGTCGACACAGGTCGCGATATCTCTCCAGAATTTCTCCGGTGGACATTGCGGTCTTTCTCCCTCTGGGACGCATCCTAATTCGAAGGAACGTTTAACGCCACGAACAACCGAGCGAGAAAAGAGAGAGAGGATAGACCGATACGATTCGTTCGATACCTGGTACACATTCGGAACCGGCGCTGCAATGGCCTTTCTTGGATAACAGGTAACGATAGTAGCCGCATACTTTGTCGCATTCGATAGCGCACTCGTTCCACGTTTCGCCTTCCTTGCAAGCCTCTGAAATCAAAATAACAACAAGTTTCATTCTCGAGCCAAAACCGTAAAAACGATCGATCGTACTTGTAGTTAGAACGTTTTCCTCGAAAGTCGTTGATATTATGGTTTTAGAGTTTGTCGTTTTCTCGAGCGTCGTCCACTCGATTTTGCCGGTCGACGGGGTCACGGTTGCCTGTACGAGCGCGCACTCCGGTCTTTGCGCGACAACGTTGGCTGGCCAGTCACAAATTTGAAACTGTGAATTGTAGAACATGTGCTGGCCACACGATACTTCCACGAGCTCGTTTCCATCGATGCCTGGCTTGCATCGATAAAAAAGACGACAGTCCGTGGGATGAGGCCGATGAGGATGTTGCACGCTGCACTCTTCGTCCACCGTTTTGGTCGTAGCGATTGGCGATTCTAATGAAATTAAAAATGGATCGAATATTGGTCCAATGGGACCAACGGGTCTATTATAGGCGTATAATGTACGATAGAGAGTCGTGCTTCTACGTATGTACCGTCGATGCTGCTGGTTGTACTCGCCGAACACCGACACAGTACGCTGATTTCGAAATCTATACAAGGAAGATCAGGCTGAGACTGGCAGTAGAGTCCACGCTCCAAACTACATTCCACGTCTAAACCAGTTTCTTTCGGTGTTAAACGATGCTTCACAGACCTACATCTTATGTCGACCATGTGATCTCTATCGCAGATTGCAGATTCCTTTAAGCTCGCCTGTAACATCGAAACCGCGACATCGTAGAGGCACGCATGGAGAGATACGACGGACGCGCGGCATCGTATCTAACCCCTATATGTATACGTATGTACACACCATATCCAACAATGTTGGCAAAGGTTCAACATCTTTGATCTTTCTGCCCTTGATCGTTGCATCTTGATTTATCCAAGCTGTCCATCCGTCCACGCATCTTTGAGGCTCTTCCAGTGGAGCGATGCTCGTCGCAAAAGTATCGGTGGTCGTGCAGGGTTCTCCTTTGCACAATACCTTACCACGACTACAGAAACACGTTTGACAATTATCCGTACCGACGCTATCACCTTCGTAATACGTAACCTGCGATGGAATCGATGCGATTATCTCGTTGTGAATAATAAAGAAGGTAAAATCTGATCTTAAAGCAGCGTCTTCTTCGACATACCCCGTTGATCTCGATGCAAGGTGTTTTGCAACTTTCTTTGAGAACACACTCCGCGTAACTGTCGTTATTGTACACATGATCTTTCGGACACGATTTGATCGAACACCCCTCGACGCAAGCGTCCTGGGAACACAGGTGAGATTGATCCCTCAAAATCATCAGATTGTCGCAGGTTTCGCGCGGACAAGTTGTAACGCAAGGAGAATACATGCTACATTTTTCGTCGCATTGCATGGGGCAGAGTTCCTGGGTGCGCCACTTTATTGGGATACCTTTTGTGCCGCACTCGTGAGCGTACGCTGCCAACGCCGTGCAAAGACATTCGCAGTCGCCCCCTAAAAAATCAAACGTTCGATCAAGAGCTAACATAAACCTAGCGTAAACTACTCTCACTCCCTTCTCTCTCTCTCTCTCTCTCTCTCTCTCTCTCTCTCTCTCT